TGGCTTCGTGAGTAATCCTGCTGCTGAAAAGGTGTGGTGATAGTTTAGATTTTACACCATATCTCTTTCCTAATTGGGTGCTGCTTGTCAGACCGCTGCTTCTGTCGCCGAAATAGATCCATCATTGTGTAGTTCACAACTAGCGGAAACTGCTCCACATTTTGATGACGACGTTGTAATGCTGGACAGTGGTGAGTTCGGTCGCTTTGTTGCACTGCGCAGCAGAATCTCATTTTTTTTTTCAGGAGACGATGACGATAGCGTTGTCTCACGACCTTCAACATCGCAGCAAGGTAAATCAGTTTCAAGATCTGGTGGACAGGACGTATTTCGAGGGGAACGAGGTAGGTAAAATAAGATTTTTGCTGCAACTGTTTTGTTTGCTCCTGCTTGATGTCATGAATACGGAATGCCCATCGATTATAAAGCAACTGCGCTGCACATACTTTGCGATCCAGACGTGATCTTAGTCAGACTTGGTTCACAACTACCCTATGATTTAACGGAATCGGCGGCTAGAAGGCGACCGCTCACACGCGACGCTGTCTGCGCCTCTCTCGCGCGCGTACTTTCTGATCACTCTCTAGCCTTCATTAGGCCACGAAGCCCCACCTTTCAGCCGTCAATCCGGTTGAATCAAAGGGTATAGCAGTAGCACCGCGCCTAAAAGTAATGTTTACTAATTCTTTTTGTTTAGATTCGCCGTACGGGTCCAATAGCGGAGATATGCCGAGATATCAAAGGCAACAATTGCCACAGGCACCTGAACGATTTAAGCCATCGCTGCCTATTGCCAACGATCCTGTCCAAACAAGCGCAGGAAAAAACCCTCAGAGGTTCTGTGCACGTACATACCAGATGCACGTTGAAACACCCGCGTTTAGGGCGAAAGGAACGTACGTAAATCCTATCACTGCACGAATTCAGCAAAATTTCGCAGACCGTTCTAGGAAGTATACCTGCCATATTTGCTCGGCTATGAGAGCTCCACATGAAATCCGATATTCATCACGTAAAATGCATCAGAATATTGTGCTGCTGACTTGTATGAAAGCTCTCAAAATTATAAGCTCGATTTCGGCTAGATGTATGTACAAGGATATCCTGCGCAATAGGAAGCGTATATGCCATGAACATTATGTGGAAGCGGTAAGTTGAATTACTTGATTTGTATGTATATGAATCTTCATTATCTAATTTTTCTTCTTTATTTTTTTTTTTTGAATGGAGACGGGCAGCGAGCACTGAAAAATCCAGCGAGCGGATAGCGAAGAATGGGTACTATTCCACATTAGTGACCCAAATA